ACCCATAGCCTACACTCATAAATGGTGATAATGTACTACGACGAAACACTACGGATCTGTAGAGTTAGAATATACACCCCCTTCTAATCGACCCCCTGCTTCTACTACACTCCGCCTCAACTGTGTTCCAAGGTTCACACCTGATTATGATGATCATGCCACCAAACACGGTAGTTGGAGCCAACTACATACATTGTTGTTGGAGCATGTTAGACTCCGGTAGAGCTGTGCTCTTCCTACCATCCTCACATAGTCTACAACAGGCTGCATCTAAATCACATAATAGGTCGAATAAACGGTCTGGATAGGTATCTACCATCATGGATAAAGCAGCAACTAAACTACCATCATATTAAAGAACTATGACACAAGAGATGGCACAATAATATGACGTTGGTAGTAGTGGTGATGGTGGTGGTGTGAGGGTAGTAGTAGTAGTAGTATAATAGAATCTCATCAGTAATCTTGAGAGTCGATAATCCGTCGACTAGGTAGATGTTTCTTCTCCTTTGCAGCATCCCTCTTCTGCCTTTTAGCCAATACTCTCTCCTGAGCTCCTTTACTTTTCCCAGCAGTCTCCCGCAACATCGCATCTTTAACTCGTTTCTTAACCTCTGATTGTTTCGGGAAGTAAGGCATTTTACCTAAGATTCCCACATATGAGTTTTACTATAAAGCCCATAGTGTCAATACTACCTGTCTTGGCTACTTGTTCTCTCTGCTTTAGCCTTATATCCTTCATAGCCTCATGTTTTAAAGACAAGCGTCGACGTGCCTAACACAAGGTAACCATAACAAGAAGAAGTAGGAGCATGTAGATTAGGTATACCTACCACATCCTGGGACTCCATACGTTCTAGCTCAGCTTTGATACCTTCGGCTGCTGCCATCTTACCCTTCTTCTTCAACTTAGCTAACTCTTTACTCATCTCCGCCTTCTCGGTCTCACGATACTGAAATTATTACTTGATGGAGGAGGGGCAGCAGCAGTAGTAGCAGCATGGACAGCCTACTAGTAATACCTCATTGAGGAAGGAGTATGCTTTAGCAAAGCCCTCAGCATTGAATGATCCACTGAGATCATTGAATCGAGGGTCCGTTATTATAGTAGATCCACTGCTCTTCTTACTACTAGATTTACGCTCCCTACCAGCCGATACTGGGGCTCGTGATGATACCTCCAAGGGTCTAAAACAGTAGTATCCAGTCAAGTGTGATGCCGAGGATGTGTTCTACTTATTCTTCTCAGATCTAGTCTTCTTCTTGTTGTTGTTAATACTGCTGTTACTGTTCATATTGCTGCTAGTATGCATCATATTTGTATGCGATGATTTGATCCTTTGTGAGACTTCAGTAGTCTGTTGCATATCATGATCTGTCATAAGACTCCTAGTGCCTCCTTCTTTTCCGATCCCCTCTCCTACCTTCTTCCTCCTCGTCACTATCCTCCTCATCATCACTACTGCTACTTACATCCTGCCATGCATCATGGTTACCACCACCATCCCTACGACGGTGAAACATGTTATCAATAAGGTCTAACAAGTGGGTGAAGATTCAAGTTGGATTTCGTGGCGCGTGACGGAGGAGGGCGGCCATGTAACGCTGTTGCTGGGTGGTCACGTGAACGTTTCATTCATGGATTGACTTGGTAGATCATTTCTAACTGCTATCTCCAGTCATCAATACTTCTCATGCTAACACTACGTATTGGACTTAGTTTAAGTATGCATTTATCGCTGCATGTGAACACAACTCAATCATTACTCACAATGAGACCTCGTGTTGCAATGGTCGTCACTACTCTCTAGATATTGATGGTAGTTAGTGGAGGTCGTCCACCTTATTAAATGGTTAGTGTGGTAAACTGTAAAGGTACGGTGATGCTATACCTAAGGGAGTTCATCATGGGTACGTATTCTTATGCCGATCGGGTGGAAGGTTTCTACTGCTATCGTACATCGACTCCTCTCTACCTGAAGACTAATTGTCTACTCTCCGTGTGAGCTCATTGACAGAAAGACCGTATTGACCACATCAGAAGGTCCCTTTAGCCTACCAACTTACTACGATATCCTCATCAATACTCAATGGCATCAACAATAAAGCTCCCCATATCGATGTTCGAGATTGTGAAACTAGTATTAAGATTTATACTTGTATTATATTATGGACATGACTAATATATTCATGCTTGTTCAGAGGGATCTGCCTTATATTCGGCTGACTTGCGGCTGAGAGTGCATATAAACATGATACAACGACCTTCGTCTCAGATGTTCACCAGCCTTTACACCTAACATCATCATTTTAGTTGTAGTAATTGTTAATTAGTTGTGGTTATCCATACTATGATCTTTACAGTATACTACTTCATCTGAATGCCCTGTGTCACTACTAGAAGCCGTGGTAACGGTAGATCAGCCTCCACTTCCCCTGGGGTTACACATAACATGGATAAACATGAGATAGAGTTGTTGCTAGCCCGTAGAGAGGATGGGAGTGAATACTTGGTGAAATGGAAAGGTTGTTCTTATCGTACAGTAGAGTGGGTGAAGAAGCTTACTCTACTTGATAAGTTCCCATCAGCTCTTCAACGAGTAATCTCTGTTGATGTTTTAGTGTTGTCACCGTCACCACTTTAGATTCGTCACTTCGACACTAAGCATCCAGGATCAGAGGTGGAGTTCCTTACTCCAAGGAAGACGCGAGTACGCATATTGTAAGTGAGCAGAAGACCAGCTTCTCAGAGAGCTCATCGAGAGGGATATTATCAAGGCTGAATGGTATGTACCTGTATGATACATTCACAACAGTCACTGATGATGATCA